AAGTAATAATATATAAATATATAATTAAATTATTTTTTTCTTCTAATGTTTGTATAATTTGTAATCTAAAATTATGGCTTTTGAAGTAATCAGGCAAACCACAATATAGATCACTGGCTTCGTCTCTAAAAAAAATATTTTCGACTGCAGTCTATGTCCTAAGTAAGTATTCTCAAGGTTATAAAATGGATTTTATTCTCAAATAATGGAACACATGAGATTCTATCCCCTTCTTGAAATACTACAGTACTCATAAGGAAGTTAATGCCTCTGAGAAGTCTTACAGGTAGAAATCTATTGTGCTTACTCCAAAGTCGCCCAAAGCTACTTGTCCATGGTGTCCTTTTTCTACTGGCATCACATAGGACAGCTTGTAAAATGCTATTCTAGTTCCTGCCCATAAATAAATGTTTTTTATATATCTGAAGCATTCATATCAATAGAACAACACAATCCGTGATGTACAGAAATAATTCAAATATTATAAGAAAAACATAGTCAAGAAGAGGAATGGCCATTTACCTCTCTTAACTCCTTTTTTCTTTTAAGCTAATGCTCACTGAGAATTTGCCATGTGCCAGAGACTGTTCTAAGTGTATTTTAAACAGATAATAACTCATTTATATCTGTCAGAGGCATATGCAAAGTAAGATATCTCTGCTCTATAAGTCTATGAATCACAACACATTCAAAATATCAATACTTATGTAACTAAAAATCCTTTTACAATACTTTATCTAGCTTACTTTTAAAGCTGATTGAATTTTTTTCCTAAAGCAAAAGCAAAAGGTAGAAAAATGTCCCTGTAGTTCTCAACATATGTAGAAACCATAAATTCTCAAATTTTAAATATTAACGATTATTTCTATAACCATTATACATTTACAAATTTACTATTATTTGAAAAATTGAAATTCATGTTTTAAGTGTATTTTAAAAAATATTTTGTAATACCTTTAATATTGGAAGAATTTCCTGGCCCCCTTTCAGAGTTCCAAGGGATTCACTAATCTTTTTTTTTACAGATGCCTCTGAATGAAAATAAAGAGAGAGAGAACAGGAAGAGGAGGAGGAGGGAAGGAACAAGGGGAAAGAAAGTAGGATCAGAAGAAAGAAGAGGAGGAAAGAGAAATATGAAAATATAGTAGCAAATCACAATCATAAAAAACTTATGCTAAATTGGTATTCTTTTTAATTACCCATTATTTTAAAAATGATTCAACATTTTAGAAGTTGACTTAATACCATTTTCTTCAACACAGATAATTTTTTATATAAGTTAATTTAAAAGCACCTTCCAATGCAGCAAACCAAATCAAGACTCTTGATTAGCAACAAGGTAACATTATGGTAAAGAGATTGGCCTTCCTTCCATAAAGTCCATTAAAAGCATTCAGAAAATAAAAGTTAGAAGACATGAATTTAGACAAATATCAGAGATGGCTGCTTTGAATTACAGGAATATAAATAATAAGTATTCATATAACAATGCTAGTTTCCTATTTTAGAATTTATCCAATAATTTAAACTAAACTTTATTACTTAATACACAGCCTAATAAACATTTTGAAGCAGGTTGCCATAATTAATATACAAGAATGACTTGTACTTTATGTTTTATGTGCCAATAAGGTGATGAGAAGAACACCGTTGCAAAGTTATAAGAATTTATGTATCTAAATGAGGACAATCCCTCATTACATAAATGTAGAAGTTTTCAAATTTATTGGATTGTGCTCCAATATTGATTAGTTCTTTAGAAGTGAAACATTTTAACAACAACAACAAAAAAATCAATACAATAAATTGTATTTAGCCCATGTATAATTAAACAGAGTATAAAACAGAACAAAACAATAGTCTCCCAAAAGTAACTAGTAAACAGAACAATAAAATTGAATGAGACAAAGACTTTTTAAAAAAGTAATCACTGGATCTTTTGCTTCCAGTAACAGATAATCTGGAAAAAGTCTCCTGGCTAGCAATAACTAGAAAAACTGGAAAGTAGAGTTTTATTTGCAAGCCAAGAAAATAATGAAAAATCAACATAGGGCCAGGATCTTGGGAAGGTAGTATCACCCAGATCTTGGGAAGAGTGCCCAGAGAGTATGGAATGGCATCAGAGATACTTTTCCCGCTGGGGACTTTGGTCAAGCTGAGAAGTCGAGTGGTACTCTTCACAGCTTTGAGGGACTAAAGCAACAGAGATTGGTATACAGGGCCCACCAAGGGTGAGAAGCCAGAAAGGGTTGCGTCCTAGGGGTAAGGGTAAATTGAAAATAGGTCTTCAGAGAGCAGCTAGGCTTCAAATTATCTTAATGTCTCAAATTGGAATAATGGGATCTGGGAATAGTAGTGCCTTTGTGCATCTAGTAAAAGCAAGTATAAATCTTCTTTGGAAGAAGATAACATCATTTAAGGCCTCGAATTATTTCTATAAAATATTTAGACAACATAATGTCTACCATCCAATAAAAAATAACCAAAGTAACCAAATAGCTAATGAAGTAAGTTCTTCAGTGAAGAATTCAATATGATAAATGCAGAAGGAATGACAGAAGTTTGAAGCCCCTTCTGGCTTCTCACCCCCACTTCCTCCAGTAGCTTTTAACCAATGACATGTAAAAGTTGTACAAATACAACCTCCCAGCTCTCTGAAGTATGTTCCGTACAGTCTCTGAGGAGTCCCTCATGGGAGCAAATCCTGAACTTACCTAGCTAGCTTTCTCATGAACTTACTGTACTTTATATTGGCTTCCTTTCCTTCTCTGTCTCACTTCGCTCCACCATTTTATTTCCCTGGATAGTGTCCCAAGTAAACTACTTCGCTCAACTCCCTGTCTCAGAACCTATTTCTGTGAAACCAACCTAAGAAAAGGTCAGGCTGACAACACCTGAACTCACTGATAAGTCTTTACATCACAAAAAGTGGGACAAGCAGGCATTACATCTATTTAGTTAAATCTATATTATTTCTATATCTAATTATAAATCATCAATGAAGCATGATACTGAAATGCCTTATTTCCATTAACAGAAACTATCCTATATTCTAATGTATACTTGTATATTCGTGTGTGTGTGTGTGTGTGTGTGTGTGTGTGTGTGTGTATAATTCCATCCTTTTTCATTCAATGTTTTACCTAGAGATTTTTTAAATTTTCTTCTTGGGTTTCCTAAAGACTCCAATATTTCACTTAATCGTAATGTGACCTCTGCCACCACCACAATGTCAATGTCTTCCATTTTATAGGAGTGAATTATTTCATTTATCTGCCACAGAAGATAAACCCACTAAAAGGAGAAAATATACAGCAAAATCAAATTAAAGTATACAACATCGTAGAGTCACATTCTTCAAAACTTAGTACTTCCTTGAAATCATCTTTTAATTACATGAAAATGTCACACGGGTACCCCCTCCTTATTAGTGCACCTTAACTATAAATAATATAAAGTTCAATGGTCCTAATAAGATTATATTTAATAACCAGTAATGTTTATGTAAATTCATAAAAAAGATTTGCTTAAGCTTATGGACTGCTTATCTATAGCCATAATGAAAATTTTATCATGTTATTTTTACATATCAGTGAAGATTTTATGTATCAGTGAAGATTATCCTCAAAATTTTCATTCCCCTTTCTAAAGGGAGTTGTGACAATCACTATCAAAGTCCTCCTATACAATAGTGAGAAAGCGTAAGCAAGTGTTTCAGGTTCCACACTGGGTGCCTATATCCTCAAAGCTTAGCGCATAAAATGAGCCATCACACTTTGGGAACTAAGACAAGAAAACAATATTTACGCACCCATATCATTACTTCAGCAGAGTACATGATAAGATCATGTCCATGAGTCCTAATGTAGCTAATCTCGGGAGGCCTCGGAATCACAGGAGACTGTTATTGCTAAAATATTTCCTATAAGTTTCCAGTTTATAATATTCACCTGTTCAACTTTTCTTTCCCATAAAAAGCTCTTTAAAATAGTCTAAATATATTACCTCAAGGGGAAAAAACTGAAGCTCCTTACTTATTTGTATTTTCTAATGTTAACTTTCTTAACAAATTTATCCAAGTCCATGTGACCTTAGACACACTATATTTATTCCTTCTTAAAAACCTGAAATGCCTCCTTTCTCCCCAAAACTAAACTGGAGTAGAAGTATTGGGAATACACTTAAAAGAAATGGTCACTCAGCAATACATTTAAAAAATGGTAGTTATGCAGGTGAATAGGGAAAACTTAGATATGAAATGTGCTTCACAATTTAAACTAGTAATAACAAAGAGCGTGTGAAAGAAAACAAAAGGAATACTTTATTAGTACTGATTTTCTGGGTGAACTTTGCATAGTCGTTTCTGGACATATTGATCCGCTGAATCCCTAATTTGCATTTCTGCCACAGGAACATTATCATATCCACAACGATTTCCTTATCAGGCTGAACATTCTGAAAATAAAATTGATAATGTAAATTGATAAAAATAATAAGATATATAAATATATAACATTTAATGTGTGCCAGAAAACATTCTAAGAGCTTTATATATACTGCATTGGATTGAATGTTTGTGTCTTCAGATTCCTATGTCGAAATTCTAACTCTCAATGTGACCCCTACAATCTCTGTCTCTTTTCACCAAGTGATGGCACAGCAAGAAGACAACCAACTATAAGCCAGGAGGCAAGTCCTCGCCAGACACCAAATCTGCCAGTGCCTTGATCTTGGACTTCTCAGCCTCCATAACTGTAAGAAATAAATGTTTATTGTCTAAGCCACCCAGTCGATAGCATTTTTGTTACAGCAACCTGAACGGACTAAGACACATACCATTTGATCCTCATGACAACCGATGAGGTGAGTACTATCTTGTCATCCCCACTTTACAGATGATCAAGTTGAAGCACAAGAAGATTGTTTTCTTCCCCAAGATAAAATTAATAAAGAAGAGCAGAGCTAAGATTCAAACTCATGCCATGTAGCTAGAGACTTCACTCTTAAATACGCTAGGCTACTTCTGTCTCTCTAAAAAGAAGTCTCAAATATTTTTAGGCAAGTGTGTAAACCACTTAGTTCTATCCAAATTTGAAATGTTTATATCCTCTTTCTTTTTAAAATTCCTGTATTATAATAATAAAGAAGAGGGGATGAACAAGAAAGAGGAGAGGAAATAGGAGCTGGGCAAGGACACAGACCAGGGAAAAGAGACATGAAGAAACTAAACAGAATCTCACACTAGAATCAATAGATGCTCCAGAATGAGTACATCTCCTGTCAAATCAGTTACTTGGCTTTTTTCAAAAGAAAAATGAAGTTACTCATTATATCTGATAATGAGTTTATGATTAAAACATATGAAACTTTGAACTCCTCTGGAGCAGCTCTAGGATTTAATTAGGATATGTAGCACCTTAGTACAGTGTTTTGGAACATAACAGAGATCAATAAATCTTTATTAAATTGAACTGAACTGAACTAAGATATGCATGATATTTTAAAAAGCAGATAGGTAAAAATTCCTTGCTTGTTTCAGCTTTGATTAAAATTATTTTTGATTTAACTCTCCCACTATAATCTAACTGTTTTTGCTACCGAATACCTTTCTTTTCAAAAATTAAATACTTGCCACAGGTTATAATATAATCCCATAAACCCGGAAGAGACAGAAAATATATAATAGTAGAACTTCTCAAATCTCTTATTGTGTTCCACTTACTTGAACAAAGTTAATACAATGCTCTATAATTGTGGTTTTCAAACTTCTTTATAACAGTAAAATCAAATTTTCAAATGAAATTCCATCAGATTTCAACCAGTAAAAAAAGTTAGGCTGTTACACCCAAATCTGGGCTCCTGAGGAATCTCAGAGAAGGCCTGGGGATCCCCGGAATTCAGTTTTAAAATCAGCGCTCTACTAGTTTTACTTAAACATTCATACCCACAAATAAGTCACTTCTAAATACTGGCCATTTTGTGCAAAGTGACTCTAAAGAATAAACAGGTTTTGTACTTACATGCTGAAAAGCAATATTTCATTAAGAATATTAACTCTTCATTAAAATCACTGCTTCATTTAATTCATTATTAGAAATATAGCTAGTCTAGAAATTTCCCAAAAAGAAACAGATTGACACCCAAAATGATAACAATAAAAAAAGAGACTTAAAATTATAAGTCAGGTTATAACTCAATCTCTTATTCTAATGATGAAAATATAGAGAATTTTGGCAAGGTGCAATTCTTGTGACATTTTAAATCTGACTTTAAATTCAGTATAATACTCTCCTATGGTACTATTAAAAATTATCCAAAATAGCTATCTCACCTGGGGAGAGGTGCAGACACAGGAATACAAGGTTGCTGCTAAATGGAAAATGTCTTCTGAATATCCATAAGTCCTCACAGAAGTATCTCAATTAATAAAGGAAAATGAAAGAAAAAATCAATTATAAAATTTCAAACAGAAAAGCACAGAAACATAGAAATTCTAAAAAAAATAACACAAATGATAGCTGGGCAAATACTATGTTAACAAGGTACTTTACATGCTTCAAAATGGGCTCTCACTCAATTCAAATAGACTATTATCATGAATCTACAATCTATATGCCAACTATGTTCAAAATGGAAGTGAAAAGCCTTATAATATTAAATCATATGTAAAAGATGGCCGTAGAAATAAAAATAACAAAAATATCTATTCAGAAACTGCCAGAAGAAAAAAAGTACCATTACTTGTTAGAAATTATTTACTACAATTAAGCAGCTATATAATGTCTTACAAAAATGGCAAACCATTTTTTAAAATGGGATTAAATAATTCTCATTGGTCTGAAAAATAGAGGCTGCAGATTTCCAATTATATAAACAATAATTTGTAAGACTTAAAAAGTCCTAGAATGGAGAAAACTGCATGCTGGAAAGAGAGAGGAGACCACCAAATCTTCCCTTACCAAAGTGACCTGATGGCTTCCGATTTACTGCCCTGCTGGTCTCTTACCAAAAAGGCAGCAGCTAAGTAGAGCCTCCTTCTACTCAAAACCACTTCTCGGAATAAAATCCATCATCCTTAAAATGCCTAGGACCCTGCAAGATCTGACACCCACCTATTTCTCTGACCTCATCTCCTCCACATTCTCAAATTCTGTCACCACTACCAGTGCACTCCAGCCATACATGCCTGCTTGCTATTCCTTCAACAACCAAGCACACTCTCACCTCAGGACCTTTGCACTTCCTGCTCCCGCTGCCTTGGAAATTCTCTCACCTTACTTATAAAAAGCATATTTAATCAAATAAAATTATCTTAATTTTTCAAAAAGGCAAATAAATACTCACCAGGAAAAGCAATTTTTTTTTCATACAAAGCTGACTGTCCTTCTTTATGGTTTTCCAAAGGACAGATCAAACCTTTGTTCCTCTTTACATTGATTAGAGGTTCTATTGCAAGAAGAAGAGTTAAATCCTTCTCTGCTTTCTTTGACTCTGGGTCATCCTGTCTCTAGAAGTATATCCCACAAGTTAATTAGTAATCCAATGACATCTTAATCAAATAAAAACAAATTAATGGCTTTGCATATATTACCTGGAGAAAATCAATAAGCTGCCCAGCTGAAGAGTCAAATAAACTCCATTCCTCATAAGTAAAAGCTAATTTTATAAATTTCACAGCAGCATCCAGAGAAATAACATTTTGTTTTTTTATAATAAGTTGTAGAAGCGATGTTTTTGGAAAACCAAACATTCCATCTTCACCATTGTGTGACACTAGGAAAGAAAAGAGGTTTGAATGTCATTCATCCAAAGAAATATTTACTACATATTAACTATCAGACACTACCAGGCACTAGGGAAATAATAGAAAAGAACACAATCCAGGCCTTCACAGAGCTTACACTCTAGTGGGGAAAACAAGAAATCTTAGTGGGCAAATTCAGGGTGCCATGGGGACAAATTGGAAAGGCATCAAACGTAGGCTCAGGATTAGAGAGGGGTCAGAGAAGGCTACTCATGGAATGCCAAACATAGAGTTAACTAGTCAAATAGGCAGCTAGATAGTACAGATAGAAAGCTCAGGAAAAAATATCTAAAACAGAGATATAGCTTTTAGAGTCATCATTATATAGCCACAGTAAATGATAAGATCAGCCATGGACAATGTATAGCTCCTAGGGCAGAACAGTAAGAAACACCAACAAATAAGAGAAGGGCAGAGGGAGAATAGACAGAAAATAAGAATGTTTAGAGAGAAAGATGCAGTTGACAGCAACAAATGCTACAGAGAATAAAAAGAATAAAGCACTGAAAGGCGACCCCTGGATTAAGCGATAAGGAGGTTATCACGGCATTCTCAGTAGAGTACTAGGGACAGAAGACTGCTTATATACAAGAAGAAAAAATTGGAACAGTGAAAATAGACAAGTCCGTCAATAAATCTGGCTATAACAAGAGGAAGAAATACAAGGAGGAAGCTGAAAGGGGACAAGAGATGAAGGGACAGTTCAAAGAGATTAGACTTAAAAAGCTAAAAAGGAAGAGAAGAAATATACTTTCCATTTTAATAAGAGACAATGGAAAGAATGAGTGCAGATGAACGTAAATTTTCAGGTTTGGGTGAAGGAAGTCAAGGAAATTCTCATCTGAGATCTTGTATTTTCCTTGTGAAAATAAGCCCAAACTGTGGCACACATTTGTAAGAGCCCTGCCCTTACATGGGTGTGTGCATGCAAGCACGTGTGCACATACACACATCCTACGTTCATTTAGAACACAAGCTAAGGTCTCAGTCTTAGCTTTCACCCTAAGTCAGTTGATATTCCAAGGCAATAAAAGGTAAAACAAACTCATCAGAAAAGAAAATTAAAAGCACAAACACGTTAAAACAAAGACCACAAATGGCAACATCCTCTACTAGCAGAAGCATAAAACTGGAACAGAATGAACAACTTAAGCTTAATAAATATTCTCTCAAGGAAATAAGAGAGAATATTAGAAACATGAAGCAAAGATAAACTGCTGTAAAAGAGTATCGAATAGGTATTAGGTATAAAGTATATTATTACTAAAACAAAGAATTTAATAGATGGATAGAATAGAACAATGAAAATGAAAAAAAACAAATTAGTGATCTGAAAAAAAAAAGATTGAGAAACCTTACCAGAAAGCAAAAGAAAGGAATAAAGAAATGAAAATAATAAAATAAATAAGATATGGAGAGTGGATGTGTTAACATTTACCTATGATGACCCTTGGAGAATTAAGAAAAGTAAACATAAGGAATGAAGAAGTAACGTGAAAAATTAAAGAAAAAATGTAAGACCTCAAAGTACCTCCTGTATTACTAGATCCACCCTTACACCCAGTATAATAAAATATAAGAACATCATAGGAAAGAGAAAGAAGTACAAGCTAAATCTATAAAACAAAAAGATTTAAACTGACTTCTCAGCACCATATTCGAGACCATAGAGAAATATCTTTAAAATTTTGAAAGGAACAACTTTTAAACAAAATATTATATCCGGCTAAACTATTTCAAAGTCCTTACAATTTTATTTAAGCAAAAAGAAATTAATTTAGAAAGAAGCAATGAAGAATGGGAAGTAAGGATGAGGAAAAAAGCTTAATAAATGTATTTACTGTCTTAAAAACAATGACCAGGACTTGTACCTAGAACATACAAAGACCTCTTAAAACTCGACAGAAAAAAATAAACCATCCAAATAGAAAATAGGCAAACAATCTTGAAGAGGAAGAGGATGTAAAGATGGCAAATGAAAAAATAAGGATGTGAAAAGATGTCTATCATCATTAATCATCAGAGAAGAGCAAATTAAAGCCACAATGAAATATCACTACACAACTCTCAGAATGGCTACAAAAAAAAAGTAGTAACACCAAATATTGTTGAGGATGAAATGGGATCATTCATACATTGCTGGTGGAGATGTAAAATGATTTAGTCACCCTTGGAAACAGTATGACAGTTTCTTACAAAACTAAATATGCACTTAGCATATTACCCAGCAATTATCTCTTGAGCGTTTATCTCAGGAGAAATGAAAACTCGTGTTCACACAAAGACCTGTACTCAGATGTTCATAGCAGCTTTATTCCTAATAGCCAAAAACTGGAGACAACTCAAATGTCCTTAAACAGGTGAATGGTTAAACAAACTGTGATACATCCATACCATAGAATACTATTCTGCAATATTAAGAACTGAATTATTAATGCAGATATCAACTTGGATACATCTCAAAGGAATTGTGCTGAGTAAAAAACACACATATAGTCACCTAGTTCATGACAAAGGGATAGTCTAGAAAATGGAGAAAGGACGGTCTCTTCAAGAAATAGTGCTGTGCCAACTAGATATTATATGGAAATAAATAAACCTTGATTCCTACATCATACCAAGAAAAAGGATCCAAATTTAGACCTAATGACATTGGGGTAGCAGAGATTTCTTAAACATGACACAAAAATGGTTAACTATAAAAGATATTCTGATAAATTAGACAACATTTAAATTAAAAATTCCTGTTCCAATTAGAGGCTAAATAAAAAAGTGAATCAGAAAACAAAGAAACAAGTAAGCGAACCTACACTCTGAGCTTTGACTCTGGGTGCAGAGGAAAATACTGTTCACAGAGAATCTATATCCACAAGCCACAGATTTGGGACTCGACTTCACACCAGAATATGTGTAACTTCAATACAATCATAGAGAGATAGCACTTCACATCTCTCAGACTGGCAAAATTTTAAAGTAAGAATACCAAGTATTGGACGAAATAAGGAACAATGGAAATTCTCATTCACTGCTCTTGAATATTGACTTTGGAAAGCAATTTTGCATTATCTGGTAAAGTTATAGATATACATCCATGCGACATTGATTTCATTCCACTGTGAAGTATATACCCTTGAAAACCATATGAATCTATGTTTTAAGAAGCATGTACAAGTATGGTCTTTGCAACATAAAGTGTAACAGCCCCAAACTGAAAGCAGTTCAGATCCATTCACAGGAGACTAGACCAAGTGGAAGATTCATATAATGGAGTACTACAGCAGAGAAAACGAATGAATTATAGCTATGAGTCCTGGTATAAACATAACGTGGAATAACAAAAAGCCCAGAACATGCATTAAGATTCCATTTCTCTTGGTAGTCTTACCATATATTATAAAGATAAAACCAGAACCAGATCCCTACTGATTCACGTCCTACATCTATTTTGTAGGTTCCTCAGACCAAGAACTATATTCTATTCACAACTGTACCCTCAAAACCTAGGAGACCACTAGACATAAAGAGAATATCCAATAGATATTAGTAGAATGAATGAATAAATTTGGGATACAAAAACTAAACAAAACAAAACAAAAAGAATTCCTATTCCTTAACAGCTGCAATTAAGAGGATAAAAAAGGGAGCAACCAAATGGGAAAAGATATTTCCAATACACGTATTCAATAAAAGACTTGTATCCAGAATCTATAAAGAATTCCTAAAACCAATAAGAAAAAAAAGCAAAGGGCCCAAAAGAAAAATGGGGAAAAGATCTTGTTGGTTTGCAAACTGGCCCCCTGTACACAGGATCAAGGAGAGATCAAAGAAAGAGGCAGACCTCCAGATGGGTAGGTGGCAGTTTTAACAAACAAGCAAACTTACATACCAGGCTTGTCATAGGCGGCTGCAAGACAAGTAGATCTCCACACCCACCCACCAAAAATTTATCTAGAGATCTTAACTGGAGTCTGTCACATATACCGTCCAGATGGTCTCAACACCTTACTCTCTCAAGGCTGTGTCCCTGAAATGGTTGTTCATATGGGAACAGTAGGCAGGATGTACATTCCAAGGACAGGGCAGGGGGTGGTTAAGGAGCCTCTGAATGCCCAGTTCCAGCTCACAAGTCAACTAGTGGTCACGTGCTCTTAATGGCCTCCTTCAACAGATCTAAGCAGGCACTTCACAACATAGGATATACAAATGGTAAAGGAATGTATGAAAAGGTGCTCAACTTCAGCAGTCATCGGAGAAATGCAAATTTATTCCATAATGGAATACTACTGAATTCACACAAGAATGGACAAAATAAAAAAGATACAAGTCTAAATATCAGAATGTGGAACAATTACAACTCTCATAAAATGCCGATGGAGGTGTAAATTGGTCAAAAATTACTTTGGAAAATGGTATCTGCTATGGCAAAACATACACATACTCTATGTCATGACAAAATTCCACACCAACAGAAATGCACAGCAAGTCATAGTAACACATCTCTCTCAGCAATTTACAAAACAAGCAGGCCAAAAAACTCAGTAGGAATAGAGACTATTTAACTACATTACTTATAAACTTAAGCTGTCGTGGTTGTGATGCACATATATATATATACATACATACATACATACACACACACACACACACACATATATGTATACATGAATATACACATAAAGCAATACACCCAACAACAAAGAATATATAACCTTTTCAGGTACATACAGACTATTTACCAACAGGCCATACAGCACATCTCAACAAATTTTAGTGGTTTCAAATAATACAGAACATGCTTTCTGACCAAAGTATAATTAAGCTAGAACTCAATAATAAAAAAGAATTAGAAAATCTCCACGTGTTTTGACTTATGACACATATACCACAGAAGAAATCACAATGAGAATTAGAAAATATTCTTAACTAAATGGTAATGAAAGCATAATATAGCAAAACTTCAAGTACTTTACTATAGCTACCTTAGGAGAGAAATGTCTTAATATGCATATATTAAATAAGGATAAGTCTTGAAAAATCAATGATCTAAACTTCCAAGTCAATAATTTTTTAAATCAGCAAAATAAAGCCAAAAAAGTAAAATAAAGGAAATAATAATGAAAATTAATAACATGGAAAACAAATATACAATAGAGAGGATAAATGAAGTCAAATACTGTTCTTTGAAAAGACTAATGAAATTGGTAGATTCCAGGTGCAACTGATGAAATGAGGGAAAAGGCAAAATGACTACTATCAGGAATAGAAAAGAGTACCTCACTACAGATCGTACAGATGGTAAAAAGATCATGATGAGATATTAAAAATTTAATAAAATTTGAAAATACCAGATAAAATCAAAAATACTCAAGGAATGTACAATTTACCAAACTGATAGGTTTTTTTAAGGAAAAGAAAGCCTAAATCATTTTATATCTATGTAAGAAATTTAACCCATAGTTAAAAATCTTTCCACAAAGAAAATTCCAGGTCCAAATGGCTTACCCAATAAAGTCAAGAAAACATTTAGATAGAAATAACACCAATCTGACACAAACTCTTCCAGATAATAGAGTGTACATCTCAACTCTTTTTGTGAGGCCAACATGACCTTGAGAGTAAAATCTAAAAAGGACGTTATAAGAAAGAAAAATCTCTCTCGTAAATAAAGAGGCAGAAATATTAAACATTAGCAAAAAAAAATAAAGAAATATATCAAAAGGATTATCCTCACTTCCACATTAGGTTTATTCCAAAAATATAGGGTGGTTAAAAATTAGATAAGCAATCAATGTAATTCACCACATTAACAGAAATATAATAGAATAGCCATTTGATCAACTCAATAAATCTCATTAAACCCAAAAAAAGGCTTTTGATAAAAATTAAACAACTACCCAGGGTTAAAAACAAACAAAACTCTTAGCAAACCAAGAATAAAATCAAGCTCCTTAGTCTGTAAAAGAGCATCTAAAAAAATCTATTAGCAAATATCATCGTCTGTATCTTATTCTATAAAATGTTGAAAGCTTTCCATTAGAGATCATATTGAGACAAAGACACCTGCTACCGTACTTCCATGTTTTATTGGAGATCTTATCCAATGCAGTAAGTCAAGAAACGTAAGAAAAAGAAATAAAAATGTTAAGAATTATAAATAAAAAAATATAACTGTCACTTTAAACATATGATTATATACATAAAAATCCAAAAGAAAATCTATTAATAAATTATTCGAATTACCAATTGAGTTCAGCAAGCTTTCTGAATTCGAAATCAATAAAAATTGAATATGAGCTTATGTGTGGACTACCATACTAAAAATTTTTTCCTGTTCTACAATAAAATATTAACTTATTTACTTATTAAAAGTTCTTTTCCTGCTATAAACAGCTCTAAGACAACATCGCGAACTTCTACTTCATCTGTAACAACAGGTCCAGTTTGTAGTGTTCGCCTATTCGAATCAGAAAGAGCTTCCAAGACAGCCAGAAACTGGGACGCAGTGCTATCAAACATCTCATCCAACAACCGTTCTGTAACAGTACGTGGCCACGGTAACTAAAAAAAAAAAAAAAATACAGTCCATTTTTTAAAAGTTCTACAATGTTTGATATTATAATGCAAAAATAAGTAAGATGTGCTTAATTAATACTGAAAGAGAGAGAGTGGTTGGCCTACCAATGAGATGGCTGCTTTTCTGGTTTTTCATTTTTTGAGGTGTCACTCCAGACTCCACTAAAGTTTATGTCATGTGGCCATTACATAGAAGACTTTGCTATTTCTTTATATGTTTGTGTTTCCAAGGCAGCATAAAAAGACTGTTAATTACTGTCTTTTTATTAGGGCTGCATCAATCTCCACATGCTCTGTAGTACCTTAATTACAGCCTTTAGGAACTGATACTGAAAACTTTGGTTACCTAAGAATCTCTCAGGAGTGCTTTTTAGATTCACAGACCACATCTCCAGAGATTGAGGAGGTCTAGGTGGGACATTTTTAATAAGCACTGTGGGAAATTCTAATGCAGAATGTCCTCAAACCAAAATTTGAAACAGTATTTTATAGTATAAATAACTGGTTGGATGTTAGTTAACTCTAAGAGTGGACCAGTTGTATATAACAAACTACTGACTGTTAGAACCCTGTGTGAATTCCCAGCCACTCCGCTTTGTATTGGCTCAGAACAATTTCATCTCCTGCAAATGGCTTGCCTCCGCACTTTATTCTGACAAATTATCTGTTCTCTGTATTTAGATTACCAGGAAATAAGAAAGGTAGCTCTAGTTGGCTTATTTAGAATCCATGTCCAGTTAGAACATACCCATCATATTCTCCACAATTCCTTTGCTTCTTTCCTATTCTTGGGGCAAAGTCAGAAAGACAGAAAAACAAAAGCAGGAATAAAACTCAAATAGATTACAGTGCAATTGTTTTTTCAAAAATAAAAGGAAAACTAGCAAAAAAGCAGAATAGAATATTTTCCAGAGCTATAGATGTATACCAAGTAAAAGATTTTAAAATATAAATATTTAAAAGATCTATTTAAAAAGATTTAAAACAAAAGCCATAAAAAAATGGACTGTCAGCTGGCAAGCAAAATATTAATGTCTAGAAAAACAATGAGATCATTCAAATACATTTTAAAAATTAAAATCTCTAATAGATAAACAGTCAAAGACTAAAAGATAATTTACAAAAAAAAAATGAAGCAATAAACACAAATATAAGGGAAAGTTGAATCCAAAAAATAAAGTTAAAACAAACCATTTTATGAAAACTGAATTATTCAAAAAATGAAGAAATCATAATATTAAAACAATAATAGCTTGTGGTGAATTTGGTACATGCAGGTCGTTACTTTTAAGAACCTATTTTGGAAATTAATTTGGCAATATATATCAAGAGAAATAAAAGTGTATCCTTTGATTTGAATCCTACACCTTGAATTTTATCCACAGGATAAAAACTGCCCACTAAACAATTATAATTTTTTCCTAAAAAGATATATCACCAGAACTTTCCATATGATAATTATCTCAAAGGAAACCAGAAGTGATTTTTAATGTAATGTTATCTGTAATTTTAAACATTTTTCTTTGAAAATGTATTCAATTTTTATACCAGGATGATTATAAATAAAGTCTTAATAATATGCTAATTAATGGCAGTCTTGCAGCTTTGTAAGTGTTTAGGGGAAATAAAAGAATTGTCTCCTGCTTCTTACAAACACTATAGCATTACTACTTAACAACACCAGCTCATCTGTGGCATTGCCTACAATTTGGCAAGTTACCATCCCCCACCAATTATACATCGTTGGTTGGTAAGGGATATACTTTAAAAGGGCTGTACGAAATGTCACTTCTGTACTCAGTCGTCAATATATCATAGTCACACTAAGTAGCAGTAGAAAGCTACCATGTCCAAATAATATGTTTTTAAATATTATATTTTATTTGAAATTTTAAAAAAAGAATTACTCCTAAATGTTATAAGAAGAAACAAGGTAAGATTACAGCAGTCACTGCAGCAGTGAGAAAGCACTGGACTAGAGACCTGGGTTCTGGTCCCAGTGCTGCCCGCACCTGCCTTTGTGACCTTGAGCCAGTAATTTAAACACCACAGGCTTCATTTTCCCCATCACAGAAAAGGACTGAACCACATGATTTCTAAAACCCCTTCCAGATTCTGAGATTCTACTACTATTCTGTCAGAAACTGCTTGTCTTCTTTCTCCTTGTTTTCATTTTCAATTTCTACAAAGAAGCTCATGGAAGAGTTTATGACCACCTAGAACAGTCGGGGAAAGCTTCACAGGAATATAGAACTGGCCTTAAGAAATACTGAGATTCATAAAAGCAAAGGGAAGACAGTGGGAGGAGGAAAAAGACAGAGGACCCTGCAAGGCATAAATAGGTCCCAGTCCTCTCCTGTGATAGCCTTTCCTGCTGTTTGCCAAATATGTTTGTGGCTGGAAGAGGCCATGTGATGACGTTTGACATGTGAGAAGAAGGAACTGTTGACACTTTCATGCCAGGTATTACCGCCTATGTGAGATCCTCCAAAACTCTCCTATGTCTCCCCGACAGAACCACCAGCAATATTTGAAATGAGGGCTGGTCCTCAACCTGGCCCTGAGCAGCAATCAGAAGCAGAGCCCCCTGATAACTATAATAACTTGACTCCAGTTGGAAATAAATGGTTGTTTCAAGCCACCAAGATATGGGGGTTGTTTGTTGCTATACTATGACCTAGTTCCTAAACACTTACAAAGGTGAAACCTGAAGTAGATGAAAAAGGTGCCTCCACCTCCTCTCCAAACTCAAGGACTTTTAAACTAACACCAAGCGGTCAAAGACAAAGGCCTCTGCAGAACCACTCAGAGGCCTATGCATTTGAACCTTTCCCAGGCTCTTCT